CATTCCTTGGACACCTGCAGGGGTGGGGACTCCAAACCTCCCTGGGCAGCCCCTTCCAATGCCTGACCACCCTTTCCATGGAGAAATTCCTCCTGATGTTCAACCTGACTCTCCCCTGGCGGAGCTTGAGGACGTTCCCTCTCATCCTGTCCCTGTTCCCTGGGAGCAGAGCCTGATCCCTCCTGGCTGTCCCCTCCTGTCAGGGAGTTGTGCAGAGCCACAAGGGCCCTCCTGAGCCTCCTTTTCTCCAGGCTGAGCCCCTTTCCCAGCTCCCTCAGCTGCTCCTGGTGCTCCAGCCCCTTCTCCAGCTCCATTCTCTTCCCTGGACACAAAGTAAAGCTTCTCTCAGATCACTCCAGGATGGCAGAGCCCCCAGACTGACAGGGAAGCAGGAGTGATTCCATAAACCAGTTCCTTCCTCCAGCACTGAGCCAAGCACCTGCAGCACTAAACTGGCACAAAATCAGCAAAATGGAACATCCAGCAAAGCTGGCCCTGAACTGCCTGATCCTCCAGGTTCAGCTGCAACCCAAGGCCTCCCAGACACAGCCCAGCTGGAAAATCCTCCTCCCTGAGCCAGGAGGCTGCCACCTTGTGAGAAAGAGCACAGAGCCCTGTGAGATAAGGAAGGTAAAACCAAGGTCAGAGGCTGGATTGTCAGGATGTGATAAGCAGCAGCTCAAGGGGACAAGAGGAAAAACATCAACGTGGGAAGGCAGAAAATCCAAAAGGGGAGAAAAGTCCACACCAGTGGGATGATGGCATCTGAGCAGTGTGGAGGGTCCATTCCAACAACAGCTGAGACCAACACTCTCAGCTGAGGCCAACACTCTCAGCTGATGAACCCCCCTGTGGGCAGCAATGACACCTTCGGTGTCCTTCTCTGTGAGCAGCACAGACTTGCAGCTCACTAGGTCAGGTTGGACAGGGCTTGGAGCAACCTGGGATAGTGGGAGGTGTTCCTGTCCATGGCAGGAGGTGGCATCAGATGAGCTTTATTGTCCCTTCCTGCCCAAGCCATTCTGTGATTCTATGACAGTCCTCAATTGTGTGTGTCCTCAGATTATTTAAATTGGAAAAGCCCTTTAAGATCATCACATCCAACCATTGCCCAGCACTGACAAATCCACCTCTAAACCATGTCCCCAGATGTCACATCCACACACATTTGGAATAATTCCACTGCTTCCTTGGGCAGCCTGTTCCAATCCTGCTGACTTTGGAATACTTCCAAGGCAAATAATTCCACTGCTTCCTTGGGCAGCCTGTTCCAATCCTGCTGACAGAATCTCCATGCATGTCAACAGATCCCCCAAAAATGCTCCAGGGAGAGAGGCGGGGTCACAGGCTGCTGAGAAGTTTGTATGTTTTATATTTTTCATGCTATCTGGATTTAAAGGTTTTGTTGGTTGGTTTGTTGCCTGATTTTGGGTATTTTGCCTGATCTGGGGTATTTTTAAAATATAAATCCATGTCCAAAGGACTGCAAACATGAAAAGCCAGCCTGAGGTTCAGAAACAGGCTAATGGGGGAATATTGGAAACACAAACCAAGGGGAAGAAAGCAGGAGACATTCCATCATCCTTCCTCTCAGAGGCAGCATGGTGCCACCGCTCCAGGGGCTCCAAGAGTGTTCTTGTCACTCTCCCCATTCTCCACCACTGCCTTTTTTCTCTCCCTGACCACGGATCCATATCCAAAAGTGCTGCTCCTTCAAAGCTTTCTGGAGCAGCCTCTCTCAGAGCCTGGGGCTTGATCTCCCTGCCACCACCTCCCACACACGGGGGTTTTGTGGTCTCCCCTCTGCCCTCTGCCCTGCTGAACCTGCAAACCCTCCCCACCCACAGTGCTTGGAGAGCTCAGGGCAAGGAGCTCAGGACACGTGGAGACACATCAGGACACGTGGAGACACATCAGGGATGGGCTGTCCCTTTTGTTCCCTCTGACAATCCCAGAGGTGCTCAGTGCAGGGTTCCTGTAACGTGGCACTGCGGAAAGGATCAAGGTGTTTCTGCTCTCCTCTTCTGCTTTTAGCTCACAGCAACCTGTGCCAGGGCCTCACCACCCTCACAGCCAAGAATTCCTTCTCAATATCGCATCTATCCATGCCCTCTGGCAGTGGGAAGCCATTCCCTGTGTCCATGCCTTGTCCCAAGTCTCTCTCCAGCTCTCCTGGAGCCCCTTTAGGCTCTGGAAGGGGCTCTGAGCTCTCCCTGGAGCTGTCTCTTCTCCAGGCTGAACACCCCCAGCTCTCCCAGCCTGGCTCCAGCCCTTGGAGCATCTCTGTGGCCTCCTCTGGGCTCTCCCCAGCTGCTCCACATGGATTTTCACTTTACAAATCCTCCCTATGACTTAATTTACTCCAAGCATCGATGCCACGTTTAACACCCCAGATGCTGACTCAGCCTGCAGGGCTCTTCCCTCCTGGCTGTGTCCCTTTTCCATACATTTCTCCAATCCCATGTGCTGCCACGTGGGATCAAAAACAGCTGGACCAGCACAAGTGATGGGGATAAAGAGGCAGGGGAGCACAGAAGAAAATTTTAATTCAGGATTGCCACAGCCTTCCCCATTGTGAAATGACAGCATTGCCAACTGCTGGCAGCACAGCCAGGACACTCCATCTGCTTCTTGTTGCACAAGTGTCCTGTAGGGATCTCTGGAAGGAAATCTTTTTCCAAGAAAGGCAAAGGTTTGTGGGTTTTTTGGTTTTATTCCCTGAGGGAAGTGTAGAATCCAGAGCCCTGTATTTACCCCACTGTAGTACAAATTTCTGCTTTGTCACCAAAAAAACTGATGGATGTGTCTGCCCCACCCCTGGAAGTGTTCAAATTGGACCCCAAGAAATGGAGCACAGTACAAAAAAAAGCTAAGTAGTTTTCTGTTAAAAAAAACCCCACACAACAAAAAACACTAAAAAAACCAAAAACCAAACCAACCTGAACTCTGGAACAACTTTTATTCCTGCCATAAAGGTTTTATTTTGTTCCACCATGTACCTACAAGCCAAACCCAGGAAATTCCTTGCTGGGACATCCCAACAAAGTTTTCCATATCAGGAAAGAACAGCAGGAAACAGATTTCCTTTATCTCCTGTACCTTTTAATGAGCCACTTGCCAAAATAGCCTTTTTTCTTCAAGCAGTGACCATAGGCTCCACCTTTCAAACCCGAAACCATCCCCCAGACAGAACCAGTACCAACTGGGATGTGCAAACTGGTCAGGTGAATGGTTACAACCGACTGCCCAAGCTATAAATAATATTATTTTAGCGACTATGATGTGGTTTTTAGTGGTGTAACTACATGTGTGCAGTGCCCAGGTTGTCTGCCTGTATTTTAAGATCCTGAGGGAGCAGATTTGGAGCTTTAATGAGCTGACCTGCAGCATCAGAAAAAGCATACAAAGGCATCAGCAACACCCTCTCAAGAGAATATCAGAGTATCATATCAGCTCAGCTCTGAAGGACAAATGCCAGGGGCTTGTGGTGACATTTCCAGGGCAGGGGAAGCTGTGAGCAGCCCAGCCCAGCCCAGCCTCCCAAGCTCCATCCAGTGCAATGGGAATTCCTCCTCTTTGTTTCCCCTCTCACTGTTGGGGGAAAAATAGGCAGCATGGAAGAGACTCCTACAATGGCACTGAGCAAAACCACTTGGGATTTCCAAGAGAAAAATCCAACAGACTCAAGAAAAGGTTAAAGAAAAAAATTCAACTCTTGTTCAGATGGATTCCCCATCCCTGGAAGTGTCCAAGGTCAGGCTGGATAGGACTGGAGCAGTCTGGTCCAGTGGAAGGTGTCCCTGCCCGTGGCAGGAGGTTGTGATGAGAGGAGCTTTAAGGTCCCTTCCAACCAAACCATTCTGGGATTCTTTAGTTATTTTCCTTCCCCACCCACTAAAAATCAAAGTTAACCCAAATCAGACTGCCTGATCACTGCTGAAAATATTTTAGAACCTCCTCTGTTTCAACTGGGATTTTTGGCACAAATAGCGGCTGAATATCAATCTTTTCACATCAAAACCTTCAGCACCCATCCCTGTGTTATCTCATGGGCTGCACAGGCTGTAGGGCAGCACAAAGACTCCCAGCCTCCATCTGCTCCAACCCCAAAACCCACAGAAACTCCTCATCTTCCCCAGAAGCTGCAAAGACCACAGTGATGGCACAGGGAAACAGCCCAGCAGTTCCCAGCCTCCTGACTCACCAGCCAGGAGAGATCCAGGAGTTCCCACAGTTCCCAGCCTCCACTTCCCAGGAGCTGTTTGTCCTTTTTGTGTTCCCCTGCCTTAAACCAGCAGGTAACTGTGACCCCAGTCCCTGATGGACTGCAGAGTCACAGGATGGGTTGGGCTGGAAGGGACCTTGAAGATTATCCCATTCCACCTTCCTGCCATGGGCAGGGACAGCTTCCACTATCCCAGGTTGCTCCAAGCCCCATTCAACCTGGCCTTGAACACTTCCAGGGATCCAGGGGCAGCCACAGCTTCTCTGGGAACCCTGTGCCAGAGCCTCAGCACCCTCACAGGAATGAGTTTTTTCTTAATATCTCATCTAAATCTGTCCTGGTTTCCTTTAAAACCACTCCCCCTTGTCCATTCACCATCCACCTTCTTGCAAGGCTTTGCTTTACTCCCAACCCCTCTCCCTGTGAGCACCCCTGCCCTTCTTTCTTTGGAGAGATCAATACCACGATAAAAAGATCAATACCAGTATAAAACCTTGGCTAATCAAGGTTTATCCATCACATGCAGAGCTGCTGTCCAAGGCCCAAAGCCACTGGAGCAGAGCCCTGCAAGCCCCTCACAGCCTCGGGTCTCACCCTTCTCCTTTCTTCCCCCTTCTACCACCACAGGGCTTGCTCAGCTGTAAAATAAAACATAATCTAGCTGAAAAAAGGTAATTTTTTTTTTTTTTTAAGTAAAAGCTTAATCCAAGTCATAGCCACCCACATCCCTCCTGTGGGAAGCAAAGGACACAGTAATAAAGATTCACCAGCGTAATTAAAGAACTTTTTAGTCTTCAGGGTTTTAATTTAAACAGACACATCTACTATGCTTTCAACATATCTACAGCAAAGTTTACAGCCACTTTGTATCTGTTTTGTTCCCCCCAAATGGCTGAACCTTGAGCCATCATCTTCTTTTTCCTCAGATTTGTTACTTTGTCGTTGTTGCAATAAATTCCACGCTGCAGCAGCTGGGATTCTGTACACAGACAGCAAATACCTAACACCAGCACACAACTCCCAGCCCTGGCATTTCAAATTGTACAGGAAAAAATAAAAATAAAAAAAGACTGATGCAGCAGCCAAGTCCAAATAGCAGTTCCAGATGCTGGGCCAGCAGTGCACTCATCACTTGAACAGGCAGTAGTGAACAGACACAGCTCACGTCACACAGCGCAGCTGTGACAATACACAGGCAGTGCTGGGAGAAACCTCCCCCCTCACACAACCACAGCACTGCCCAAGGCTTTAGCAAAGCACACATGAGACACCAAAAATGCTGTACAGTGCAATTTTAAATTAGATCCTATGCAACAGGGACAATAGTGCACGTCAAAACCAGCGCCACATTCAAGACTTAATCGATACAATCAAAATATTGAAGGTACGTATTTCATATTTCCCTTATGAAAACTGTGCAAGTTAGTTCCTTTTCCCTTCTTTTTTTTTTTTTTTTTTGGTAAATGGCAGAGTGTCCTCCCCAAATTTTGTGAACCGACCCCCAAAATTTGGAGATGGGGCTTTCCGTGTCCAGCTTGTTACACAAAGAGTGCGTGCAAAAGAGCAGGAGCGCGGTGGCAGCGAGGGCGTAAGGCAGTGGCACAGGGAGGAGCCAGAGCTGGGCACTGCCCCAGCTCAGGAATTCACAGGGAATCTGCAAACTGAGGGTCATGGGGCAGGGATCCCCCTCTGAGGGAGCAAACCCATCACTGGTATTAAATATGTGATTTGATAGGGGAGGCAAACAGCAAAGCAGAGAATGGGAGAGAGCTGCTGTGAATCTGGAGCCTGGGAGGCACTGGAATGGAAAAATTCAAAGGGAATGTGGCAGCAGCGTGGCAGGACAGCTCTGGGAAGTGTCCTGTCCCAGGAGAACCTACACCACCACACATCTTGGCCCCACTGCATCTCCTACAGCCCTCCCAGGCAAGGCAGGGACAAGGTGCTGCAGGGCCCAGGAATTGTGGAATAAACTGCAGGGGCTGCTCAGAAGGACACCAGCACTGCCCCAAGGATTCATTCCCAGGCACATTCCCAGGATGCACATTCTCAAGGCACACACAGTGCTTGGGTGTGCATTCAACACAAGTGGAGGCTGAAATTGATGCCAGCTCAGAGGGAATGTGCTGCCTTTTGTTGGCTGTCACAGCTGGTTTCCCAATTTCCTCGGATGCCTGCAGTTTGCAGGAGAGGCTGGAGCAGCCAGGCAATTAGATCCAAAAAAACCCTCTCTGCTTCTCTATTATTTAGCTCAATCTATAATTACTGTGTTAGGGAATTGCATAACCTTTAGGAGTGTTTTATGTATAGTCTATTACAGGGAAAATAGTGCCTTCTGAATCCTTCCCATCTGGCTGGGGATAATGGATTTCAGATGGAGAAATTCTGAATGGGGTCGGGAAACACCACCCAGGCAGGTGCAGATCCCAAAGACATCATTTCAACGGGTGTACAATCATTTTAAGGGCTTATATGAGCAACATACCCAGAGGAATCACCAGGTTTGGAGGAGGGAACAGCCCAATTCTGCCTCCCCTGTCATGCAGAACAGATCCCCAGCCACCCTGAGCAGCATTCCCTGTGTCAGGCTGGATTTAGAGAAAAAAAGCTCCAAACCAAAAAAGAAATTGGCATTGCAAGCAGGGGAAATCACTCTTCTGCCTTAAGTGAGCAATGTTTTAAAAGGGATCGTGTTATTTTTTTAAGCCAGAGGACTTCAGGGCTAAGTTTAGCTTAGGCAAGAAGGAAATAAGGACTGAACAAAAGGCATTAAGGTAGCACTTGACCATTATCACATAATTTTATATAATTTCCTTGGTTATAGAATTTTCTTAGACTGTATTTAGTAGCTACATGATTTTTGCAGTTCCTGCCCAGCTACTTCTACAACTACAGATCCTGCATTTTCACACATATCTATGTGAAGTGGCTTTTAAATAAAGGCAGCTTCATTCCATAAACTTGAAAGCTCAGCAGTTTCCAGTGGCATCCCACCACTGACCTACTGCAGCTCTGTTCATTCCAGCACAACCAGGCTAACAGGAAAGCTCTTTTCTGGATAATCCCAGTCATATGTGCTGCTGTTAATTCAACTTTTCCCAGTCCTGTGCAGCTACCCACAGACTCAAGCTGAAAAAATGCCTCAGGGAGTATTTCAGACCTACCCCTACCTGTCTTTTTAAAGGAGGAAAAAAAAATCACAAGAGAACTCTGATTTTATAAAAAGCAGATTGAAGCCACAGAAATGGAAAGAGCAGCTACAAAAGACAAAGTTAAATGGGAAAGAGCTTATCCCTAAAGTCTTTAAGCAGTTTTAGCAGCTACAAATCATCTAAACTCTTAGTATTTTTTTGTAGTGTGATGGCCCCTTCATCTGCAGCAGATCTGTGAGGTCACCTGAACTTCCAGCTTCTGCTTTTGAGGTTTCACAAGATGGGCATAAGAGCACAAGAAGGAAAAGCACATCAGGTGCAACAGAAGTGTTTTGTTGAGTAGTAAATGAAGTGTTGCTCTTGCACCCCAGCAATGCTGTGAACCTGGCCAGGTGTCCAAACCCAACCAGGGGGGTTGGAATTTGCAAGAAGGCAGCTTGGCTCTGGTTTAAAGGACAGTTCTGAGCCCTGTTCTGCAAGTGGACACCCCCACCAACTACTAAACCTTTTTGTTTTCCAGGTAGAATAAAAAAAAAGTTTGTTCCTCCTTAGGAGATCATTGTCCACGAGGGACAATTCCACCTGAAGGTCATGGCTTAAACATTAGCAGCAGAATCCCTCCTTCAATTCTGTATTGCACTGAAATGTCTTGCTCTGGTTTGGTATTTAACTTCCTGCTCCCGAGCCAACGCTGAACACAAAAAACCAAGTGTGAGATGTGAAGGCTACTGAGAGTATTGTGTAGACTGGCAGAACATGTAATTTGATTTTAACAACTTCTAGATTTCCTAGGAAATTAAAGAACTAAGCTGCCTTACCTAACCTTGGAGAAAAAAGGTGCTTCCAGACAAAATGCCTTTACCTATGTATATAGAACTGTGTATTTCAATCCTGTGAGCGTTCAACAAAACCAGAAGAAGTCTAAAATAAAGTGGAGACATCCTGTCTCTTGGCCCATCCTGGTCATCCACACAGTTGGAGGTAAAGAGTTCCAGCTTCTGCTGACACTGTACCCAATTCTGAAACAGAACAGCTGCCAAGAGGGGACATTGTGCCCAGCTATGTCTTCTGTAAACAAAACAAAAACCCCTCCCCAAAAAGCAGGGAGGTTGATGGAGTGAGGGGTTCAGCAGTGGGAGGCTCAGCTGTACCCAAGGGCTCAGCAGAACATGCACTTTCCATGTTTCTTCCTCCATGTAAAGGGGAAAGCAAAGGCCTGAGGCAAAGCCCAGCTCAGGGCTCCTCCTCCGGCACCTCCCCATCGGTCTCCATCTGCGCCAGCTGCCGCCTCAGCGCGTTCACCTTGGCCTGCAGCACCTTGTTGTACTTGATAATGTTGACCCTTTCTTCCTCGGCTTCCTCCAGGAATCTGGAAGGCCTGTTCCATCGCAGGAAGACACCTGGAAGCCCAGAGACACCCAAGTCACAAGGAGTTCTTGAAACAAGGGGGAATTCATGAAGGTTGTTCACATTCCGGCAGCTCTCAAGCAAGGTGCACACAGTTCACATTTTCTTCCCTTTCCCTCCCTCACTATAAGGCTTCCCCTCTCCTCTCCAAGTTCACCATCCTACTACACAAGGTTAATAAAAGAAACATGAAAAATGAGGGGGGTTCATTCCTTTTTTCCTCCTAAACTCATCTGACCCATCCATTTTCAGTCTCCACCCTGCCATGACAGCCTGCTTGTATGATGAACTCTTCAGCAGCCACGGGATGGGGAAAGTTTCTGCAGCAGGGAACCTACTGCACATGGATTCTCCAGAATAGTCAGCAATGAAATCTGACAAAAAATCACAAAAGAGATATTGTCTGTAACAGGGAAAGCAAAGCTGGCTCACCTTCCCAGAGCTGCAGGCTCTGTGGTGCCACAGAGGGCCAGATGACAAGGCTGTTGGCCTCATAAAGAGGGTTCTGGAATCTGCTCAGCTCTTCAGGCCTGTTCACCCAGGACCAGAGGGACATGGTCTTCTGAGGCAGCTTCAGTTTAGCCCTAAGAAATTCACAGGAACAAATCAGTTTTTATACACTTGGATCTGTAAGGCTCTTATTAGAACCACACAGACAAGGCCACAAGATTTTCCAGGTGCTACTCCCCCCAAATAATTCAAGTTAATCCCTTCACCATCATGGCACAGGTGAAGGGCACAGGTGATCCTAAAGCAACATGGCACAGGTAAACCTAAAGCAATTAACTCAGCATAGCTGATTACAAATAGTTCTGAGTAAAAGATGAGGAAATAACACTTGTAAGATGGCTGCCTGCTGTCCATCTGAAGAATCAGTCACCTCCCCACTGTGGTTTGAGTGCCAGGTTTGGAAAGGAATCAGGCTCCTGTCTTAAGGTGGAGCTGGAAGGTGGGGCAGGGCTGCATCAGGGAAGGATGGAAATGGAACTCTCGAGCACATAAACGCAGTTTCACTGCTGGAATGGGCACGTCTGACAGGTCCCCCTGGTGGCAGGAAGGAACTGAGCACACAGAGCAAGCAGCGCTGTTTTCCTGAGCAATCCCACCTCCAGCAGTTACAGGGATCCCTATGCCTCAGACTCCAGCAAATCTCTTTCTGCCTGCACTGGCAAATTGGACTGCCAGCCAGGCAGGAGATTCACCACTCCTGTGAATGCTTCAGACAGCACAAGCTTAACATCAGACTTCAAGCCCTGTCTGTGCTCCCAGGCTGACGTGCTCAGATGTGACAGGCAGGTTATTACACATAACATTCAATACTCCTCCAAATTTCACCTCACTGGTTTCAAGTCTAACTTGGTTTTGCAGATGACTGGTTCAGCAGCCCTGTAGAAGGCAGCAGAGTCTCTTCTAAGCCCAGATTACTTTAAGGACAGAGAGGTTTACAGGAAGCTTTGAATTCCCTTCCTTCCCTGGAGTATCATTTCTGTTTTTCCCTTCCTGTCCAGTCCAGCAGGAGACCCTCAGCCATGGCCTTACTGGGGCCAGGAGTCCTGAGGGCAGAATTTCCAAGGTCCAAACAGGAATCCCAACCTCCCTGGCAGCTGTGAGCAGCTCCAGTCCTTCACCCTCTTTCTACTCCCAGAGGGATCTCAGGACTACCAGGCTACAGAGTCACATTCCTCCCTCACAGGTGAGGGACAATTGTCAGCTGTGGCCTATGCCTGCCTCAGCCTCCTCTTCCAGGCCTGCATGGACAAGTCTGCTTCCCACAGCTGTGACTCACACCAACTCCAGCTGGTAATTCTTTCATGGAAGAGTTTCTGTATGGGAAACTAAATAAACTGGTGATGGGTGGAGATTTTTGGCCAGGTTGGATGGGATTTGGAGCAGCCTGGGATAGTGGAAGCTATGGCAAGTTGAAGCCCATGGCAAGTGGTTGGAACAAGATGATCTTTAAGGTTTCTTCCAACTCAAACCATTCCATGATTCTGGGACCTTCTTTTAGTGAAATTCAGCCAAATATTTAAAGGACTCAAGTCAAGCATCCTTACCAACCTTTCACTTTCATTGTTCCCCAGGAAAGTCCCGAACTGGGAAGCGTAGGCATGCTCAAAGAGCAGGATGAGGAAGTGCTCGTTGAACTCGAAGGAGCAGGGGAACTGCCGATGGATCTGCCACACACATTCCAAAAAAAGCAGGAATACCGGGGCCTCCCACTTCTGTTTGCTGTTGGAATAGGCTGACTGGGCACAGCGCTGCTGGAAAGGGTGGCCAGCCTGGAGGGAATCAGGGACAGCATCACACACCAAGGAATGGGATGTGAGGATATGTGGAAAAACACTTCAGAATAAGTTCTGTCCATGCAACTGCTTAGGCAGCCAGGACCAAGCTGTTAGAAACCATTATCCCTCTGCTGCTGGGGCACCTCAAATCTGGGATTCAGTTTTGGGCTCCTCCTGACAAAAAAAGACACTGAGGAGCTGGAGAGAGCAGGGAAAGGGGCACAGCCTGGAGAAAAGGAGGCTCAGGGGAGACCTTGTGGCTCTGCACAACTCCTGACAGGAGGGGACAGCTGGGGGTGGGGGGTCAGGCTCTGCTCCCAGGGAACAGGGACAGGATGAGAGGATATGGCCTCAAGCTGTGCCAGGGGAGGTTTAGATGGATATTAGGGACAATTTCTTCATGGAAAGGTTGTCCAGCCCTGGCACAGCTGCCCAGGGCAATCCTCGAGTCCCCATCCATGGAGGGATTTAAAAGCCACACGGATGTGGCACCTGGGGACATGAATGAGTGGTGGCCTTGGCAGTGCTGGGGGACAGTTGGACTTGACAGTCTTAAAGGTATTTTCCAACCTAAATGGTTCTGTGATTCTATGATTGATTTCCCTGCCTTTCTCAGGCTGTGTTTGATCACAGAATGTGAGCAGGAACAAGATGGGGTGGGTGCACTGGAGGACCAGAGGTACAAAGAGCACAGCTCAGGTTTTGTGGTTTTCTCTGAACAGTTTTCTGTAATGAGATGGAAGAGGTGCAACCTGGTCCAGTGGAAGGTGTCCCTGGCCATGGCAGGAGGTTGTGATGAGAGGAGCTTTAAGGTCCCTTCCAACACAAACCATTCTTGATAAGAGATGTTTACCCTGAGCACACAAAACAGGCAGTTCCCCAAAATCAAAAACCTGCCATGAGAGGCAGAGGCCCCAGGAGTGCCAGAGGGACAAATGACTCAGGTAATGATGCTGCTCTTTGGGACAAAGGAGACTCACACTTAGCAGGGCTGCAACTCAGGCTACCTCTCAGGCTATTTCCCAACCCCAGTGTCTCTGGAACTGGTTGTTGTTCTGTCCAGGGGTATTCCTTACCTGCAGCCACTCCCTCACTACAAGAGCCTCGAAGCCACGGATGGTCCTGCACCTTGGATCCAGGATGATCTGTGCCAGGGAAGTGACCTGGAGTGTGGAATCAGTTCCTTCACTGCCATGGACTAACACTGAAGCACCTTCCCTGGGAAAGGAAAAGGTGGGAAGGGATAAGAGTATGAATGAGCAGAACCCGTCCCAGTGGATGCCATTACACCCCAATGGACACCAGTGTTGAGGTTTTGCTGGCTCTTTACCACCACTGCAGCCCCATCCCACATGGATTTAACCTGGATCCTCATCCAGTGACCTGAGCTCTGCATCACTAAATGACATAATCCATGTCTTGCTGAGCAGTCTGGAACTCCAGATCCTTTCCCACACTGACAGAAGGTGCACAGTGAGATCACCCTTGTGGTTCTCACTCTTTGGGATTAGCATCCCTTTGAGTTACAGCTTGGAAGTGCAACTCATCCCATTCCACCCCTGTCATGGGCAGGGACACCTTCCACTAGCCCAGGTTGCTTCAAGCCTGGTCCAACCTGGCCTTGGACACTTCCAGGGATGCAGTGGCAGCCACAGCTTCTCTGGGCACCCTGTGCCAGGGCCTCACCACTGCTATTATACAGAGTTTCTCCCTAATATTTAATCTAAACCTTCCTTCTCTACTAATGTTTGCCTTTCTCTACACTCATTTTCTAACACTATTTTCACCTTTTATCTTGTAGGCCTTTAAGATGTTGGAAGATCTGTCCCAGCCATTCCCTCCCCATTAGAACTCCTTGTCAGCCCAGCTCTGACCTCCAGGCTCTGAGTGAGGCAGGTCAGGCACCTGGAACTGACTTGCCATGGCTCCACATGGTAAACACAAAAAGCAAAGCTGAGGTTAAAAATTATGAAATCAGCCACTGTCCCAACAAGCCAGAAGGGTTTCATCACTGATCTTCCCCATTACATGCTTGCAGGAAAGAATTTCAGATAAAACTACTGATCCAGAGCAATCCTTTCCTGGCACAGCCAGTAATGAAACCAGCACTGTCAGAGCTTTTAAAAAGCACAGAGCTCCCATTTTAATGCAGCAGTGCTGTTTCACCACTGAGCCTGCATTTCAGCTGCTTGTGTGCCTGCAGAACACAATCCCCAGCTGCTATGAAAGGCCAGGTTTTCCCTAAATTTTGGGATGGGCTTTTCCCACCCAGAGCCACAGATAAAACCAATTTAGATTCCTGAATCTGTCCTTACAAACCCTGGCAGCTAACAGCAAGCATTGGCTCTGCAGCCAGAGGTGTGAGCATGAGTCAGCTGAGTCAGCAGCATTTATGAAAGAAATGTCAGGTTAAAAGAGGTCACAAGCACTTAGAAGGGATGAGCAGGATTGCCTGGATAGGGCTGTGGGGATAAAAATACAAGAGAGGAAAAAGCACTGGACCAATTCCTGGGGAAAACAAGGAGATGACATTGTTTTAACCCCTGGAAATGAGGTGTGGTATTGAAATTTGCAGCCGAAAAGAAAAAAAAAGATTTGCTAAAAAAAAAAAAAAAAAAAAAAAAAAACTGTGTCCCCTTTTCCCTGGGGACCCTTTTTTCCCAGGACCTTCAAAAAAAAAAAAAAAAAAAAAAAAGACATCTGTGTCCCCTTTTCCATGGGGACCCATTTTTCCATGGACCCATTTTTATCCAATCCTTCAATGAAACTCTCTAAATTAGCTTGGCTGCAACAGACACAGGAATATACCTTAAAAACACGATCCAAAACCTTTTCTTAGCCCAGATTTCCTCTCTCCTCCTGATTTATTGGAGGAACATTCCTCTGCCATGAAGAAACAGAATCTTCCATGGGTACAAGTGAGCCAGACTACGGTGGGCAGTTATTGACACTGCAAGAGGTATTTAGTGAGCAATCTGTAGCCAGTGAATGAGCAGCCCAAGACTTTCTGTGGGAGATTTACCTGTCAATGCACTGAGCAGCCAGACAAGCTGCAGTCAGCAGCTCCTTGATGTGAGTGAGCCAGTTGGAAGCTTCCAGTTTACTGAGCCAGCGGTCCATGTTGTGTGACTGGTCATTGCAAGCCTCCACCAGCTTGATGAAGCTCTCCTGCAGGATATGAAACCTTTGGGAAAAGGAAAACATTGTTGAAAGCACAAGCAGTAACATAGGAATGAGGACATGGATTATTTAGTCTTTGTATATTGTGTTTATTCATTCCTCTCTCTCTGATGCTGTAAATAATCAGCAACAAATATAAGTTAACACAAAATCTTTAGAAGCAACACCAAACACTTCAAGTATTTGCCAGGAAATTCCTTATTTAACTGCTCAAGAGCTGGCCTACAGCTCCAGTAATATTACTTCATGTCTGTGTAGAAGGATTCCCCAAAATTAAGGCTTTAAGAGAAGTTGAACAATGCCAGACTAAAAGTCTGTTTATTTAGCAACTTGTCTCCAAATGACTGAACAATAGTAGATATCCAGAGAAAAGCACTGGATTACAGAATCATGGAATGGTCTGGTGTGGAAGAAAACTTAAAGCTCATCTTATTCCAACCCCTCACCATGGGCAGGGACACCTTCCACTATTCCAGGCTGCTGCAAGCCTTGTCCAACATGGCCTTGGATACTTCCAGGGATGGGGCAACCACAGCTTTTCTAGACAAATCCTCTGGATAAGAGGAGTGTGACAGCCATAGAACAAACCCTCCCCTGCAGAGGTTTTCTGGCAAGGTACCTGCTCCTTCCTGTGCCAGGGGGAATACAGGAAGGCTGGAGTGCGGCTGAAGATGGTCAGGAAAAGAAACAGCACAGGCAGATGCCTGATGGCTGAAACCTGCAGCAGGTTGCTCAGAGCAAGGAACCAAACCAAAAATCCCCTTATCATCCACATGTCCTGGATGACATGCCACACGAGGAACATGACCCTGTTGCCAGGAACCAGGATACACAACTCTTCTTACAGGAGCAAATCCTTTGTGAAGGTATCACTGCTCTGACAACCCGACACAGCCAAGCTCAGGGGAGAGCCTGATTTCACCCACCTCTCGATGTATTTGTGAATCCTCCTCCACTGAGGGTAGTGCACTTCTTGTTCAAAGCCCCCTCCCCTGGCCCTGGCCTGCTGGGCAACAGTCAAGGGCCGGGTGTCGATGACGAAGCCGCGGCGGCCGGAGCGCAGCGTGGCGTTGATCAGCTTCTCGTCCTCCTTGCAGCGCCGCCCGTTGGTGCCCGTCAGGGGCTGGCTGCTCCTCATCATCGCCTGGGGAGGCACAAAACCATGCAAGAGGCACTGGAAGTGGACAGAGTTCAGACTGAAAGGCACCAATGAGCTCAAAGCCTTGCTCTGAATCCTTCAGTTGTTTCAAGTTCGATCCCTCTCAAGGATTGAACGCATTTAAAACTGATTTAGAAATCCTTGAATCCAGCAATCGTTTGGCTGGGCAAGTTTTAAATGCCAGGCATCATCTCAGAGGCTGTATCCCTTCAGTGACACCTCAAGTATCATCTTTGTGAACTACTGAGCTGCCTTCCTGCTGATGGCTCCTTTACAAACCCTGGCAGTGTTATAAATCCCTGGAAGCGTTCACAGCCAGGTTGGATGAGGCCCTGAGCAGCCTGACCTGGTGAGATGCATCCCTGACCATGGCAGGGTGTTGGAACTAGATGGCCCCTAAGGATCCTTCTGACCAAAACTATCCTGTGATTCTATGAAACCAACTTTTTCAGGATTGTCATTCTCAAGGTCTATTCCCAACTCTGTTCTCAAAACACTCAAATTGCTCATGTGTTAAAGGTGACATTTTTACCCCATGGATGGACTGATAAACCTCAAGTCCACAGACTGAAGAGCTGAGATTTCTCTTTAGCAAATGCCTTTCAATTCAGAATACCAAATCAGCAGCTCAAATCATAACAAAAATGTGAGGGCAACCAGTCAGCAATGCTAGGTACAGCTGAGAACTCAGAGCCAGGAGGGCAATGAGAGTGACAGCATTACTGTCACAACTGCAACATTCTGAGCCAAATACTGTTGTACTCCTCACATGAAACATGCACAACTTGGAGACATAACTGTGCAAAACTCTACCTTCAATGGTTTTCAGCTGAGCTGAGAAACAGTAAAAAGCACAACTGATATGGAGCAGGCGGTTGGCTGCTTTTAAAGCAAAATCCCAAGGTACTTCTGAGTCAGACTAGACAGCTTCAAGTTGAAGGCTTACAAATCTTGGCCACAGGAGGTGAGAAAGCATTAGAGCATTTGAGCAGACTGTATCAAGTTTAAAAGCCGCAGGTTGGACATCTCAGCACCCTCAGAACTGGTTACATCAGCAAGAGACACAATAACCCAACACTTTCATACAGTGCATTTCTTAATTACAATGTATCAGTCACTCCATTAGATTCTGGCTTGTTAAAGTCTGTGCAAGACCAAGAATTTGCTACTCCTGAACAGAGTTACCCTGCCAGGCTCAGAGAACAGATTGTTCTGATCCTCCTTGAACAGTCACACAGCAGAAGCAGCCTTGGCTCTGCTGTCACCACGGCTGTGACGAGGACCCACTGCTCACAGACAGGACAATGTGGCTCCTGCCATCCTTTCTATGAGAACTCTTGGCAGACACAGCCAGCCAGGGTGCCAGCAGTGGCTTTACAAGGCTCATCTTGTTCTTACTGCTGTAAGTGAGCTGCTGCCATGCACATTCCCAACCAAGCAGATTAATGGCTATTTCTAGGATAGAGATCACTCATTCCATCACCCAGAACCAGCTTCACTGAGGAAGCCAGAAAATAAACCAGCAACTCTTTTAATTCCTGAGCATGAAACCAACAGATTCCCACATCTCCTTCAGGCACAAGCACCCCTCAAACTCAGCTCACCATCCCATTTTTCTTGTGGTAGTAGCTCAGCACCGGGAAGCGGCCACCGTGGCGGAACAGGGCGACTTTGCGGAGCGCTTCATCGTCGATGGATTTGGGGACAATGACAACTGGAGGGTAGGAGGGACACACAGAGAATTCCTTGTTCACACAGCTGAGACGCCATTCATTGGTCTGAAAAACACCAGAACGCAGCTTTGGGTCAGAAAGGACATTATATGGGAGAGGTAACAGGGAAGAAAGACTTCCATGCACAGGATAAAGCACACACACAGAGTCGTGTTTGTGATCTGTTCCATTTGCACCACAAATTGTCCTTTAAGTAACCATTTACAGGGCTGTTGACCCCTTAATTTTTCCAGCACATCCCTTGGTGCTCCCTGCAATCACCTCCCTGCAATCACCTTGCAGCAGTTCCCAGAAGCTCATTCCCCAGAGTGCAGATAAATCTTGGAAGCAATGGAAGAATGAACAGGTGTCTCTGGGTCTTGAGCAACAGTTCCCCCTTTGGTTTATCCATATCCACAAACAGCACAAAATAAGCCCATGTGGGCAGAAATAGGTGACTGTGGCTTTAAGTTGTTTCACAGGCACAGCAGACAGCAAGGGGAGACCCCACAGAGAAATGTATTCACATCTTCAAACAGCACAAAATAAGCCCACGTGGGTAGAAATAGGTGATTGTGGCTTTAAGTTGTTTCACAGGCACAGCAGACAGCAAGGAGAGACCCCACAGAGAAATGTATTCCCCAAACAAGGGGGAAAAAAAGTTCATTTAGATACAGAGAATATGGGCCCAACCCTCCATCTGTGCTGAAAGAGCTCACAAGACAAAGGTGGCCAAGAAAGGCAAAGAACTTCCACCCACTCCAGATGCTGAAGCTGCTTTGAGGCTCAAATTTCAATTTAAACATCTCCAGTTTGGTTATTTTCCGTGGTTTCAGCTACAGTTCTTCCTCCTAAAGCACCTTCTGGAAGGGGCCCAGCAGCCAAGCACTGAGGGCTCATCAGGAGCCCTGTGATGTAACTGCTCCAGCTCACACCAGCCAAAGCCCTGGGAAAGAAGTGCTGAGTGTGGCACCTCACAGGCACTTGGCATGAGAATTCCAGCTACCTGATACCCAGGGTCACCCACAGGCCTTGGCTCCAGCCCAGGGAAAAAGGTCAACGAGGAGCTTCTGCAGCAGGGAGAGACCTCAGAGATCCATCAAACCTCTGCTCATCTCAGTTCAAGCAAAGTTTGAGGCAGACAAAAAGGCAGAGGGATAAGGCAGGCAGGACAAAATGAGAGAAGAGCACAACAGCTAAATCAGGCTGTGACAAAATACATGAAATCCACATCAATTCAGGTCTGTTAACTTAACATGAATTAACTGCACACCTCTGATCAGAATTCCTTTCTTCCAGATCCTTACTACCCCTTGCCACACACCTCCTGATTGCTACCTGCTTATAAAAATGCACCTGACTGGCTCACTGGTCCACTGGAAAACTGGGATCAGTTCGGGAATGTCTTCTGGCAATGAAGCCCTTCCATCAACTGAACAAGCTGATCTGACTCTATTTCAACAGAAGCAGCTCCAAGTCATGGGATGTGTGGCTTAGGAGACAGGAAAATTGTCCTTTTTGGTGGCAGCCTAAAAAAGATGCTGGGAAAAAAAAATAAATATCAGCATCAAGAGCAGTAATTGCTGTTTGCAGCAGCCCAGCTGGACAGTTTTGCACCATCCCTGCTATAACCTTATTTCATTATTCATTAGCCTCAAAACAGCTCCTCTGAACAGCTCCATTTTATAAAAAGCAGAGCTTCTCACAGATGCAAAGTCAAATTGCCTCTGGCCATCACGTTGTGAGCAGAGATGAAAACTTCTGGGACACAAAAGGATGAGGCTGGCCACAGCTCCAGCTTTCAATGCACCTTCAATGGGATTTTTAACAGGGTTTTTGGGGGGTCTGTCGAGTGTGCAGTTTGATTACCATGAAAAAAATATGCATGGATGTGGAATATCAAACTGATAAAATCCTCACCATGACACAGGATGTGGAGAAAGCAAAACCAGAACTCTGAGGAACATGTGGGAGACTGGCTGTCCCTGGCACCACCAGTATGGAAAGGAATGGAGGAGCAGCACCTGATTTATCCCCCACTCTGGTAATTTAATGCTGCTCTCCTCCCCATTTAGAGCAGAGATCCTGTTATGTCATCCTGGTGTAATTTCCACGACAAGGAGGAGGAGCCTGGCAGCACTTGGCACCATTTGTCTTCCCTCCAACAGCTCCTGCTGCAGAGATCACATTAACCTCTGCACTGCCAGCTCCAGACTGCCCAGATCAGCTCCTTTAGCTTTGGCCTGGCTGGAATTTGGAAGCAAAAAGGGCCATCAGTAACTGGAAGAGCGAGGCAGCAGCACAGGAAGGACTGCAGGGAAAGGGATGAAGGGAGACCTCACTTTGAACCAGGTAATTGTGCTGTGTGAAACTCAGGGAGTGAACCTTTAATTTTCCCAGAAAGACATCTGAACTTCTAGGAATCAAGAAAAGTTAAGAATAAAAGCAGCAAAGGGATGAGGGCTCAGCAGAAAGGAGAGAGAATTCCACAGGAAAGTGAAAGCACTGATTTTTAAACCCAATGCAAGATCAACTCTTGGATTTCTACTTTTCTTGTCCTGATACTTGTTTATAGAGACACTGATTCCCAAATGTCCAAGCTGTCACTCCTCCTAAAACTGAAAATTGCCAGGACAGGTCGTTTTCCACAAAACATTGGGAAACAAGTCAAGCTCTACCAAAAGGCCTTTAAAAAAAGTCCAGAACCCAGCATGAATCTTGGGAGATCCTGCAAAGCAGCAAAACCAGAGACCATTCCCAAGGAATAAGCCCTGCTGGGATCAGCTTGTGCATGGACAAGGAGCAGAACAGATGTAAGGATTGATGCTTGTCTGAAAAGCAAAATATTATTCACAATTACCATTTAACCTGAGCCCAAACCCAGAAAATTCTGATTTCTAAAAGGAGCTCTGACACAAAGATGAAGCACAACTGAGTTGTTCAGAACCCTGAGTTCTTTCCTGCTAAAAAGGGAAAGAAAATAGAGAAAAAAGGGAAGTGAAAAGGAAAGAAAAGAGAACAAAAGACAGGGAAAGAAAAAGGAGGGGAAAGTAAAAAACAGAGAAAAAGGGGGAAAGAAAAGAGGAAATAAAAAGGAAGAAAAGGGGAAAAGAAAAAGGAAGAAAATAGGTAAAGGAAATGAGAATGAAATAAGTGATTTTCGTGGCAATAAAATAGCTTTATGTTAATTATACTGGCAGTGTACAAACTCCTCAGGCCTCTTCACTTCATTTTAGAAAACTAAATTTGGAAGCAAAATTTTGGAATTTCCAGAGTTAGTTTTCATGGTCCTGCAGTTCTGGAATTTGGCAAAAGAGAAACCTCTTGGCTCTCCTCTGACTGCTCAGAGAAAATATGAACCCCTGCACATACTCTGAATTCCACTCACCCCTCACTGTGCAGTGAAGAACACAAATTACATGTCATATTATCTAAATATTTAATATTTACATAACTTTTTCAAAAAGTATTAACTTTTACACTGCACTTTGCCATTAAAGAGTGTTGAAAACAACTCTCCTGCAGCAGACAAATATGGAATTAATAAATTACTAGAGCTGTAGGGTGGGTGAAATAGTTTTTAACTTGTTATCTTACTGGGGAAGGTACAGATCCAGGTGGATGATTTAGCAGAGGCAGGAACCTTTGGAATTCTACTCATTTGACTTCTGGGAGAAAGATTTAAATCAGCCATGTCCTTGTTCCAGCCTGTCACATAAAGCAGTGTCTTTACAGAACAAGAATTATTTGGTCAGCGAGACGTTTATCTGCTGTTCAGGAGATGTAAATCATTGGAAGGTGGCTTTTGACACCATTCTGTTCAAAATGTGAAGTTTTGGGTTAAAAGCCAAGAATTAATTAATCAACAGCTGTCAGACATGGAGATTTTAAAGGAATGAATGACTGGCCTGGAAACGTGGAGCTAAAAAGTAATGAGGTTTTTAAATGTGATTCTTACACAGAGAATATGTTCAGAAAGCCAAGAGATTGACAAATGAAGATTTAAATCCCTGAAAAAATAAGGAAAAAAAGCACATCAATGGATCCATGTGCTGGATGTGATAACAGCTGGTCTGTCTTTGGATGGCAGAGGAAGATAAGACACATGAGAGTGCTTTAATTAGGAGACAAAAATAGCAAGGCCTCTGAACCCCTTTAATGTTCTTTAATTTTCTGGTGATTTCATCAACTGAATTTGGTCAAGCTGATCACATTATTCAGTTGTTACTCATAGCCAGGAAATGATACAGGCTGCAGACAAATTGGACTGCAGAGAGAAAAAAAGAATTAAAAAAAAAATCAATATTCTTGGATGCTGCACTAATGGATGTGGGCTCAGAAACCTGAGCTGCTGGAGAAGAGCACGGACTGGATGTGAAACAAAGACCTGGAACACAGAGATGCAAATCCAAGGAATTATTAAAACAGGTTCCTGCACCCAAGATAGCTCCCACTCTACCAAATTCAGCATCCTAAAAGGAAATTTGAGCAAGAGAAACAACAGGCAATGCCACAAGAACAATTCCTACCCAAAACAAAATCAATGTGCTCAGCAGCACCTGGAAAAAGAGAACTGGAAGTTTCCTGCTTTTTGAACCTCCTGAATATTTCCCCAGAATCAATTAAAGGAAAAAGTGTTTCAAACTGGGCATCTTCATTGTCATCCTCCTAAAGAGAAATTTTTTTAAACCAGTATCATTTCAATGAAGGCTTTGACAAAGATTAATCTCATTCTACTCCAGATCAAAATTAACAACAACAAAGCCAGGACAATGGATTTCAATTTCTTCTTCCAATTAGAGAACCATCCCCAAAGGCCAAAAACATTTCCTACCTTTGTGATTTCCTGAAAAAGGCCTCAAACCTCCACTGGTACAAGGTGAAGGAGCAAACAAATGTCTTATGAAGGAGCAAACAAATGTCTTATGAAGGAGCAAACAAATGTCTTATGTCACAGAGGGAATATTTCAACAACACTCACTTCTCACCCAGGCACCAAATGGATTTTTAACCATCTGGGATTTCCAGTCCAGCCACTACTGGATGAAACAGTTCACAGAACATCCAAGTGCCTGGGAAATTGCTCAAATCCCACTCACCACTGAGCTGAGGAGCTCAAACTCCTGTTCCAGCAGAAAGGAGGACCATCCATCCTCCAGGACCTCGAACATGGGCCGGTAGAAGAAGGGATACATGAGGGTGACTGAATCCAGGGTGGAAAGAGCCTGTGTGGACAAAGAAGTTATGGAATCACAGGTGGGGCTTGGAAGGAACCTTAAAGCTCATCCCATTCCATCCCCTGCCACAGGCAAGCACCCCTTCCACTACCCCAGGCTGCTCCTAGCCCTGTCCAGCCTGGCTTTGAGCAATTCCAGGGATGGGGAGTCCAAAACCTCTGGGAAATACCCCACAACTCCATGTGAAATATTCCAGATTCTACTTTGCCTTTCAAAACATGAAAACCTAACTGGAAAAAAAAATAAAACAGCTCTTAAGGTTGAGGTAAGCTCAAGACCTGCAGGTTTTCTGGCTGATGGTAGCTGCTCACCTCGATGGAGCTGGCAATGTTCAGACACTCCTCCATCCCTGGGATGTCCAGCTGGATAATCCTCAGGTCCTTGCATTTTATGACAATGGTGCCCAAGGAGCCCACGAACCTACAGCAAGACAGGAAAAAAAGAGTCCCATAAAAACAGGATCCTCTAAGGCAGGAGAAGTGGCACAACTCTTCCCACAAGGCAAATCTCCATGAGTGGCAGTTTGTGTGCAGGGGCACCTTTCAAGAAAATAAAGAAACAAACACAACTCGTTATTTGCTGTTTGCAAGTTTGGTTTTATTTTCATTTATTCCATCCTTCTGCTGTGGTGGGGAGTGGAGGTGTTACATGATAAATATCACACTGCTGGGAGGGTGGGGGTGCCCTGGCACAGGGTGCCCAGAGAAGCTGTGGCTGCCCCTGGATCCCTGGAAGTGTCCAAGGCCAGGCTGAGGACTGAGCACGGGAAGAAATTCCCTGAGGTTTCCAGCCCTCTGCTCCTTTTCTCTCTCAGAAACACACACGGAAATCAGGAACAAATTTAATCAACAACAAACCTCATCAGCACCCAGCAACTCCCCCATCCCAGGCTCTGTGCTTTTTTTAATCACTGATTTCTTGCTGGCAGAAAGGAGCTCTGTTCTACCAGACTTCCTTAAAGGGCTTTAGACACAGAGGAGGGATTTTGTAATTAATATAAAAATGAAGTATTATCATCAAGCTGGAGAAAGGACCAAGGTGAGGGAGCAGAAGACAATGACCAGGTGAGATGGGGCAGACACTCAGTGAGGGGCAGAAATGAGCGTAAAAAGAGAAATCTCTGAATTCTCTGTAGCTAAAAGAGCATGGGCAAGAAAAAAACGGAGCTCTGCAGCTACAGCTCAGCTGTAGCACAAAAAGCACATTGCTAAAGGGTTATTGATTCCCATGAGCAGCTGGAAAAGTGAGGGATGGTGCTGTTGAGCAGCAGGAGAAGATCTGGGGCTGAGCAAGTCCAGAACCCAATCCTGCCGCCACTTTTGGAGGGTGGCACAAGGCAAACCCCTTCAGCAGTGCTCTGACATCCCTCTCTGTGCACAATGCATCATTTATAAAGTGCTTCAAGGGTGGACAAACCCACTGAGCAATGAACACAGAGCAAAAAGGGTTAAACACAAAAATTCTGACTCTCCACAGGACCAAAAAAACTATCCTTGAAATGCAACATCAAACATGAATGTTCAAACAGAACATGGGAACCCTGCTCTGGGCCCTGAGAGAATCACTGGGGTTGGAAATGGATCATTGAGTCTCTGGGGATTTTTGGAAGGAATTTTGAATGAGTTAGAGACAGGACCTCTGGGCTGGTTTTGCTGATGTGGTTTATTGTTCTTATCTTCTACCAAGGGTGAGCTCAGCTCACATCTTTACTGCACAGCTCAGAACAAGACCCTTGGTTACAAGACCTTTTAAGGATTTACTGACCAATAAAACACTGCCAAAAAGGATATTTATGCTTTTGACCCAATCCTTAAATATTTCATCTTATGGATTCATGCTACAGTGGAAGCTTTCTTAGCCAATCATGTTCTGACACACAAACCTACAGTACTGCACTCTAAACTCCTAGTTTACCTCTGTAACTACTTTTATTTTTTCTATATCTCCAACTCTAAAACTCCAAACTTTCTTCTTCTTAGCTTAACGTGTCTCTGCTTTAAACCGCAAATCCACATTCTTGCTTCCAGCACCTAAGTTTGGGAGCCTTTCCCAAGGTCTCAGATCAAATCCTGGGTTTAATTCTAAGCTTTGGCTTACAGGCTCAAAGTTCTGAGAATTCCCTGCATTTCAGATTCCAGCAGAGCCCAACCTGTGACCGACCCCACCTTGCCACCAACCCAGAGCACCAAGTGCCACATCCTGACCTTCCTCAGACACCTCCAGGGATGGGGACTCCAAACCTCCCCGGGTATTCCAAGGGTTTAAATCTCCCTTTCTGCGGAGAAATTCCTCCTGATGCCCAACCTGAACCTCCCCTGGCACAGCTCAAGGCAATGTCAGTGCCCAGAGCATCCCTCCTGCTCTCCACACCCGGGATTTGGCACAGCCGAGGTGCCAGCCGGCCTTTCCCAACCACGAGGCGTTAGGGCAGGGAGAAGGGAAGATCACCTTTTGTCGATGGAGTCGATGTTGGAGTGCAGCAGCCACAGCTCCTCGGCGTTGTCCTGCCGCCGCGACGAGAAGATCAGGTGGTGGCCGGTCAGGCACAGCGTCCCCTCCACGGCCGGGTGGAACGGGCGGTGCAGCACCACGTTATCCGCCCGCGGCGTCTTGATCAGCTCGGCGAACTCCATGCTGCGGGGGGAAAACTCACCGGGAAAATTCACCGGGAAAACGGGCGGCAGCCTCGGGAACACCGGCCGGGAAAGCCGGGGAGGGCGTGTGCGGTGCCGCCCGGGCGGGCGGGGGCATCACCCGCGGTGGCGGCGGCTCCTGAGGACCGAGAGCGACGCGGGAGGGACCCGCACAGGGCCCCCGTTCTCCCTCAGGGCCGGACCGGGGCTGTCGAGGCGGCGGTACGGAAGGGAGCGCGGGGCGGCGCGGGCAGACCCTCGGTGCTGGCTCGGGGAGGCCGAGGGAGCCGCAGCAGCCCCGGGCCCCCCAAGATTCCCGGGATTCCCGGGAGCCGCCGGCGGAGCGGGATGGGCCGGAAGCGCCGCCCGGGAGCCTCCCGGGTCACGTGACGGGCACCCGGACCAATCCGCGCTCGGGATCCTCAGGGAGACAGAGAGGCGCGTAAAGGGTCCGGAGCGCGGCGCGGCCCCGCCACAAGCGTTCCGGAGCGGGAAGGAACTGGGAATGGAGCGGGAATGGGAGCGGGAACAGGCAGGGGCAGGGAATGGGAATGGATCGGGAACGGGAACAGGCAGGGATTAGGAATGGAGTGGGAATGGGAACGGGAACAGGCAAGGATTGGGAATGGAGCAGGAATGGAAACGGGAATGAAAGCGGGCAGGGATTGGGAATGGAGCAGGAATGGGAGCAGAGAGGGAATGGATCGGGCGAGATTGGGAATGGGAATAGAGAGGGAATGGATCAGGCAGGGAATGGGAATAGAGAGAGAATGGAGCCGGCACAGAGAGAGAATGGAGCGGGGAGGGGTTGGGAATGGAGCCGGCAGGGATTGGGAACGGAGCAGGAACAGGCAGGGATCGGGAGTGGAGCGGGAGCAGGCAGGGATCGGGAATGGAGCAGGAAGAGGCAGGGATCGGGAGTGGAGCGGGAGCAGGCAGGGATCGGGAATGGAACAGGAAGAGGCAGGGATCGGGAATGGAGCGGGAGCAGGCAGGGATCAGGAATGGAGCGGGAGCAGGGGCCGGGCCGGGCCGGGAGCGGGGCCGGGGTCGGTCCCACCGAGGCCATCGGCAGCCGCAGTTTGGGCTCAAACCCGCAGGGATTGAGCACACGCGGCCAGGTCCCTGCGGATCCCAGCCCAGCGCCGTCCTGCTCCTGCAAAAACTGAGGAAAAGGCCAAAATCCAGCCTGGCCACAGCACAGGTGGTGTTTTCTGAAATCTCCCCCAGGCTCTTCTCCAAAGCCACCCAGCTGTGGCAGCAGAGCCCCTCCTGCACTGCGTTGGTGTTCCCATCATGGAATTACCGATGCTTTGGGTTGGAAGGGACCCTAAGGAACAACCAGTGCCACCTCCTTCCATAGGCAGGAACAGCTTCCACTATCCCAGGCTGCTCCAAGCCCTGTCCAGCCTGGCCTTGGACACTTCCAGGGATCCAGGGGCGGCCACAGCTTCTCTGGGCACCCTGTGCCAGGGCCTCACCACCCTCACAGCCAAGAATTCCTTCCCAATATCCCATCCATCCCTGCCCTCTGGCAGTGGGAAGCCATTCCCTGTGTCCTGTTCCTCCATCCCTTGTCCCAAGTCCCTCTCCAGCTCTCCTGGAGCCCCTTTAGGCTCTGGAAGCTGTGACACTGCCAACACCCCACAGCCAGTGGTGAGGCTGCAGGGTCAGGGGTGCATGAGTGCTTTTCCATGGTTTATTCCTGTAAAGTTCAGCCCTGTCAGGAAGAGCTTGGGCACAGCTAAAACCCAAACCTTAGCACCAAATTTATTAGCAGAGATGGGAGCAGGAATGTGGATCCCTGGAAGTGTCCAAGGCCAGGCGGGATGGGGCTTGGAGCACCCTGGGATAGTGGGAGGTGTCCCTGCCCATGGCAGGGAGTGGAATGGGATGAGCTTTAAGGTCCCTTCCAACCCAAATTATCTCGTGATTCCAAACCAAATTCAGGGCTGGTGACGCTGAAATCCAGCATTTACCCCGAGAATATCTGTGAGAGAGAGAAAGGGGCTGGCCACAAACCACAAAAAGCGAAGTTCTAGGGAGTGGGGAAAAGATGAAGGATGTCACTATAAAGACACAAAAAGAACACGACACAAACATGCTGCTGTTCTCAAGGTTAAAAAGGGCAGTTTATTTGCTGACTCCAACATTTATAGATTTCCAAAAGTGACAGTGGATTGGAGGGTGAAAGTGCCACCTTTCCAATGACACTGGACAAACCAACAGTCCATCAAATTTCTCTTCTTCTATAAAGGAATGCAAAACAGTAAGTTATTTACAGAAAGTGTGTGAGAAAGTTCCTTACAAGAATGTAAACATCAGAAGGCTTAGAAAATCTTAGAAAATCAGGGCGACAGAAGGACCCTCCAGATTTTCAGGGGGAAAAAAAAAAATCCAGATTTTTCCTGAAGAGGGGCTCTGCTGTCTGCACTGGCCGCTGGGGTTGCTGGAAGAGAGGTGGGATCCAGATTGTGATCCAGAGCTACAGATCCCACAGATCTCACTTACAAAAAAAAAAATCCAGATTTTTCCTGAAGAGGGGCTCTGCTGTCTGCACTGGCCGCTGGGGTTGCTGGAAGAGATGTGGGATCCAGATTGTGATCCAGAGCTGCAGATCCCACAGATCTCACCCATAGAAGCTCCATCTCCCCATCCTTCACCTGCTTTATCCCTGGCGAAGAGCAAAGCCAAAGGGAGGAAATCCGGTCAGCAGCTCCCTCTGGAGGGGACGGGCGGCTCCCGGTGCCGTCCTGCCCCAGCTCCAAGGCTGTCCAGCCCCTGCCCGATGGGATCAGCCTGGCTGGATGCCGGCAGTGGGTGACAGCCTGTCCTGGGCAGTTGTCCCTGAGAAGGATTGCAGAGGTGTTTGGATTTGGTGACCTGAATTTTTATGCTGGCCCCTGTTGCTGAGTTCAGCCTGAGTTTGTTGGGTTTGCTGCCTGTGTCTCGTTAATGCTGGCAGTTCTGGTGATTCCAGTGACTGGGAATGATCTAAAAATCTAATTAATGGCATTTTAATCTCATAGATAGATGCAAAGATTCATAATAAGGATGATTAATTATCCTCTTATGGGGGTTTGCACTGATCTACGTCATCAGACAGAAGAGGGGTCTCTGGGTTTATCTTGATAGTTTGAGTTGGAAGAGGCCCTAAAAATCATCCAGTTCCACCCCGACCATGGCAGGGACACCTTCCATTATCCCAGGCTGCTCCAAGTCTCATCCAACCTGGTCTTGGACACTTCCAGGGATGGGGAAGCCACAAATGGAGTGGCTGCAAAGGAAAACAAAGGATTTCAGCCCCATGGGCAGTGGGGAAACAGCACTGCTGCCTCTGTGAAGGAGGAAAAAGGAAAATTTGGGCAGTGGAGGGACTGATTGTTACCCCAGTGTTGGTCCTGACAGTTCTGCAATCCCCAGGGGACGTGTGGGAGGGGATCATCACCCAGCTCAGAGAAAAACCCAACACATACAACCCTCAAGTCAGGGATATATCGGATATTACACAGAGAAAAAGGAGTTTGAGGTGCACTAGGAATATGCCTGAGGAGAGGAGTGGCTGGCACTGAGATGGAATTCACTGCCTGACTTTTTTTGTCTTGCCTTGTGCTGTAGGGAAAATGAGGTTTGTACTCATTTGTACATGTACATGTGTTACAGTAAGATAGAAAAATCATAAAGAAAGGCCTCATAAAATCAGGTCTACTCTGTTATTTCTTCTAAGGGAAGCTAGCACTTTGTAAGTTCCCATGTAAAAGCCATCCTGGTGTGAGCAGTTTAACATAACAATCTATTCCTGGGTTTTAAACAACCAGCACCTGTATAAACTGTTTTTACACTGTTAGATAGAAAAATGAAAACTCTCTCTCACAAACAACTTTTCCTGCATGTACACACTGGGCGTTTGAGTGACCAATCAATACAGAATATCAACTTGTTAATAACCAATAAAATAATTAGCAAGAAAGCTACTGACCAATTGGAGTCAGACAAGAGGTCTGTAAAACTGTATAAAAAGGAGTTATGTGAATAAAGAATGGGATTTTTCCACCATGAAGGAAATGGAGTTTTGTGTGATTTATTCTGATATATATCATGTACTCAAGAGTTTGAGTTTGGACATCACCTCTCTCAGAGGAACCCCTGAACACGGCAGGGAGACCCCTCCTGCCTTGTTTTTAGACCTGTAAAATCAACATTTTGATTTTTGGTGATGCCAGCCAGCACGGCTCAGCCATCATGTACTCAAGAGTTTGAGTTTGGACATCACCTCTCTCAGAGGAACCCCTGAACACGGCAGGGAGACCCATCCTGCCTAGTTTTAGTCCTGTAAAATCAACATTTGGAGCTGTGACGCCGCCCAGCACGGCTCAGCACTGATATCAGTCAGCAAATATTGTCCCGATCTCAGGAACAATGGGGGATGTACGGGACACTGTGAGGGAACAGCGCAGCCCTTGTGCAATAAACCACGGGAGGGAAGAGCGCAGCCCTTGTGCAATAAACCATGGGAGGGAACAGCGCAGCCCTCGTGCAATAAACCACTGGAGGGAACAGTGCAGCCCTCGTGCAATAGACCACGGCTGCCTGGCTAGCCTTACCTCTGGGTGCTGCTCGTGTCATCCTGTCCTGCATTCCCCCGCCATGGGAGGAGAGCTCCCAACCCTCGGGCTGGGCTGTGAGTGCCAACAATTTGAGGAAAATCTCATGGCCGGGGCACAGGCTCGCCCTGAATGAGGCAGAGAACTCTGGAGCATGACTGGGATGATGAGGAGGGGCTGAGGGAGCTGGGAAAGGGACTCAGCCTGGAGAAAAGGAGGCTCAGGGGGGACCTTGTGGCTCTGCACAACTCCCTGACAGGAGGGGACAGCTGGGTGGGGGCTTGGTCTCTTATCCCAAGTAAAAATGATGAGGGGAAAGAGCCTCAAGTTGTTCCAGGGGAGGTTTGAGTTGGATATCAGGGAACATTTCTTTATGGAAAGGGCTGTCCAGCCCTGGGACAGAGCAGTGGTGGAGTCCCCAGCCCTGGAGGGGTTTAAAAGCCATGTAGGTGTGGCACTTGGGGACATGGGTCAGTGGTGGCCTTGGCAGTGCTGGGGGAGCTATGTCACCATGATATTTTCTGAAAAAATCCTCTTTGCCCAGGATTTTTTCTTCTGAGAAGCTGAGAAGCCTCAGAGTGTGTTTTGCTGCTTTGGAATGCAATATGGAGATTGTTTATCCAGCATGTGAATTGTTCTTTCTTAATGACCAATCACAGCCAGCTGTGTCAGACTCTCTGAGGAATCACGGGTTTTTATTATTCATTCTTTTCTTGCCTTCTGATGTATCTTTTCTCTATAGTTCAGTATAGTTTTAGTATATAATTTCTTTTAATATCATATCATATCATAATAAGTCAGCTTTCTAAGAATATGGAGTCAGATTCAT